TCCATTTTCAGATCCATATGATGCCTTATCTTTTGATCGATTACATGCAAATGCAGAGGGAAATTTTGGCAAACATTTATACCCAACTCTTCAAGGTTGTATCAAAGATATAAATCGTGAAGCATGTCAACTTGTTGACTCACAGTAAGCCCTAATTTTCAGATTGTTATTTTTCTAATATTATAATATCTAGAATGTCACAAATACCTCCCTGGCGTAATCTCAATCACTTTAAGGCTATCATGGATATTCATTTCTCAGATGGAAGCAAATATGAGGATATATCCAAGGTATAATTATAGTCATATTGTTGAATTTATTAAACTAATTAGATTTAGGTTATTATCTTTGTTACACACAATGTGATCCTATAGCAAAACAAATCAGCTTATTTGCTCCTTTGTTGTCTACGTATATATCTGGTGATAGATATGTATGCAGCATTGGAAGTTCATACTGAAACAACCTTACTTGCTGGTGAAGAAGCTCTTAGAAAATTTGATTTACTTATGAAGGTAAATTATTAAAATATGCTTATTTATAGTTTAACTAACTTATGCCTTTAGAAATATATTGCCAGCTGTGCTGAGGATGACAAGCCAAAGGACTGGAACTTTCCCAAATATCATGCACTTAAACATCTCTTTCAAGATATTCGGGCAAAAGGTTGTACACGAAATTACAACACAAAACCTAATGAAAAATGCCATGTTCCATTTAAGAAGGCCTATCAACGTCAGACCAATAAGAAAGAAGTAGAGGGTCAGGTAAATTTATTCTGGTTTGATATTTATTTTATTTTCTAATTAACTTTAATATAATCATTTATAGCTTCTCAGACTAGACCATTGGTCTGTGGTCTCTGCTTATATCAAGGATAGGATCAAATCCCTTGATGATTTTATCAAATCTCAAGAGGATGAGGAATCTGAAAATGGTCCCAATGATATTACCCAACATATCATTCTTGGTTCTCCAGATCCTTCTACCACTTTTTCTAATTTGGAGGCACTTTATTCAAGCAATAGTGCTTTCAGAAATTTCAGGAAAAAACTCAATAATTTTCTTAATATCTTTTTACCAGCTTTATCCATTCCACTTCCAGACAATAGGAAAATTCACTTTAACCCTGATGACAAGGTATTTTTTTAGAAGGTTAAAACTATACCAATATCTAATCTTTTATTTAGATCACAAGGTGCAAGTTTCTCAAGGTTAACTATGAAAGCATGGTTAGCTGGGAAATATGCACTGATTTACTACGCTGCAACCCCAATTTTCAAGAAAAACCAAGATATGATTATATTATGGTTGATACTGGACAAGGTCACATTTATGCTCAGTTACTGTATATGTTTAAGTGTACTGTGGGTGACAACTCATATCCCCTTGCACTTATTCATCCTTACGATGCTGGAATTCCTGGACCAAGACGTCGAAAGGACAAGGATTTGGAATTGAGGCGAATACGGCCTAAGCCCCAAATTGAATCAGAGTTTATTTCACTTCATTCAGTTATCCGGGGTGCATTGGTTGTATCAGATTTTGAAACAAACACTGACTATTTTGTTGTAGATACCCTAGATACAGATATGTTTTTGAGACTGAGACCTGAAACTATTTCTATGTAATATTGTTGTTAGATTATAATTTTGATTATATCATTTATTTCATTAAAAATAACATACTATCTCAATCACAGTACAGAACTACATTAGAGTACATAGTATTGACAGAAACAGAGATATCCAGATAATTCTGGGGTCTAAAATCTATCTATCATATTGCTTGTAATATATCTCTTGTTTATATACCTCACCCTAGAATTATCTGAATATCTCAGGAGAGATCCAATAGTTACTGGATTTTATCTGAAAGCTACATATATTTTGTGTATACAAGAAGGTAGCACAGCATGTGTCAAGATAAACACCCTATCATGGCATGGTAAGGCATGAGTTGTTATGATGTAAAAGTTTGCAGCAAGGCAATGGTGCGGTTAAAGCATGGTGGCCATGATGGCACCATATATACTATGCATACTGCCAGCTATCAAAGCTGAGTACATCTTCCCCAAGTCTTCTGTCCGACTGTTACTCACAATGCCACCTCAGAACTTGCAGCAAGTTGCTCGAGCTAACTCCAACCAACCCTCTGAGCCAGAGGAAGGACCAGAGATTTCCGACACTGAGTCTGTTGTGGATCTTCAGCGACGGATCTCAACTTTGGATCTCGCTCTTCAGTCTCAGGCAGCGACCGAGGCTGACCTTCGAGAAGTAAGTAATACAATATTTTAATAATATTGGTATTTATCTGTTAACGTTAATGAAACGAGGCCCTCAAACACTCACAACTTCTTAACATTACGTTGGTGAATAAACTTCATGAGCGTAATGAGGAGATCGACCGGCTCAAGGCCAACCAACGACAACGTGGCCGTGGCAAAGCATCCACAGTCCCCGCCCTTGTTCAACATGAAGACGATATCAAGCGGAAAGCAAAGCAATTTGCCGTTATGCATGAGCTTTGGTTAGATAATGAGGTATTTCAGAAACCAAGGCCAGGACCGATGACTGTGAAAGACCGGTATGCTAGTGAACAAGCAAGGATACAAGGCATCACCCTACAGCTCTATGAATTCCTTCCGGAACACTTTCATGAGTTATTACTTCGACACAAACAGTTCGGAAAAACAGTAAGTTCAATTTTTATTGAATTATATGTATATATTTATCTCCATGTCTACTCTAGTTTCAGCAGGCTGCAAGCAGTGGACGTGCAAGCCATCTCAACACCCTACGACAGGCTCTTCCCACCATTCTGGACATGCCGTCTCAGCTTTTCGCGCTCGGTAACACTGAGCGAAGCAAATCCCCTGCTTTGCAGGCACTCCTCAAACGGGATCCAAACTCAAACACTTATCCCACATATCCCCCGATCTTATTCCCCAAAGATGCCGATGGCAAGATGCCAAAGCTCTTTCATAGTGTACCACTTATGAAGGTATGTACATTTTACTCATAGCCGGAATCAACTGCCGCTACTGACATCCCACCTTCAGGCTCTACAGGTGATTCTTTTCGGAGCCAGCTCATTGACCAACCCCGGGTGCGCAAAACGTGACACGAACGGCAAGATATGGGGAGTGACATCGGTCTCAAGTGGGGCAATCGCAGGTGTTGCAATATTGGTCAGTGCAGATATTCAATATTTTTTCGAACATCCGGGACTATTTTCCTACTAGGTACGCTTTATTCTCTCACCCGACGAGAAATTTGAGGCCGTTGGCAGAAAGTCAGGCATCAAATATGCTGCTCAGTACACAAAATACAAGGAATTGCTCGATAAGGGACTCACCGATCCCAACAATACCCAAATCCGTAACCTCATCGTCACTTGGAACCGCAATGTATTTGCGAGGGAACACCGTACCACTTCAACAGCCCCCCCCGAAACGGACAGTGAACCCGACGCTGACGATATCCTCCTCGCAATGCAAGAAACCGAAAATATTGAAGATAACATGACACGCATCAACGATAATGGAGCGGATATCAACAACGACCATATCGACGATATATATCACGACGACGATCACAATATCGACGATATGTACACTGCCAATCCATTCAACAACCGCGATGTTGAAACAGAGGTGATCGAGCCACCTGCTCCTCATTCAATCCCTCGGTTTGCCCAGAGTTCCGCCTTAGCTCAGAATACTGCAGGTATGTTTTAAGAACCTCCAAATTAATAGTATTAACATTGCTATATACAGGGTCCTCTCGACGTTCCATACCGCCCGCAAACCCCGCTACACCTCAGCCCTCCCCTTCCCTCGATCCTCCTCGGCGATCGGTTTGCAATCAAGCATCGGTCGAAGATGCTGATAACGAAGATTCCGAGGCTCCTGCCCCAGCCAAACGAGGCCGTGGTGGGCGACCGACACGTACTACAGCCGGTCGTGGTCGCAAGCGTTGAAGTTGTCACACTGCTCTCACGCTCGTGAGATCGTGCAGCGCTGTCCTCGTTCTCGTGCATAAAGGAGAGGAGAGGAGTCAGTTGTGTCCGTGCAACTTAGTGATATTGGGAGTTTTGCTGAGGGTTTTCTACGGTATTTGCAAGTGAGTCTTGAGTCCACCTCAGACTTTGTGTCTTCTACTATCAGTGTGCATGGAAGGCATGTCTTTTGTAGGTTTCATGATGATTTTCTCTGTAGTTCTGCAATGTATTCCAGTTTCTTTTGTTTCGCTTTTGGGACCAAGTACCCTATATATTAATCCGCAAAGTGTAGCTAGAACTTGAGTAAGTAGTCTACCTGTTATTGTGCCTGTAAGTTTATCTCTCCTTCTTTGTGTAGTCGCTAGTTTGAATCCCTGCTTTGCAAACTGACAAATTACAATATGCCGGTAATCCAACAACCCTCCTGCTATATCGGGTAGCTCACACATTCCCGGGATGCAATAACTCCATCATAAGAGGATATGTCTTTGTACAATGAATGAGTATCTTGTGCGCTTTGCAGATACATATATATATGGGAGAGAAGAAACATGTGGGTTCATTTCCAATGCCATGGTGCATATCGAGCCGAGCTGTAAGAATTGAGGAGCCCGTTTCTCTGTCTTGTCCGATGCCAGTGTTGCACGAACTTGAGTGTCATGACCTTTAGCATCGCTGCTGTCACAAGTTTCTCCGTACCAAAAACACTCCATTCCGGTACTTGTGTACCCTCTAAATAATGTCCTCAAGCTCTATAAAGCAATTTACAACATAAGTACAGCTTAATAAACTAAATAAATAAATATATACAACTTAATATAGTACAATATAATACGATTACTAGTAAGTACAGCAGCTGAACATACACATATTAAGTCCGTACGAAGTTAATACTAGTAAACATGGACACTAGAGCATACTTGCTCATACTTGTGTAGGTGTGTTGATGACCTGGATTCCAAAACGATCTACTACAGTTAAGGTCAATATTTTGGCGGGCTGGAATGGCCGAGTCGTTAAGGCGAGTGATTTGAATTATCAATCATCACTTGGGCATTGCCCGCGTAGGTTCAAATCCTGCTTCCAGCGAATCTCTTCCACATTTTTCTTGTAACACTTTCCTTGAAATGAGCGAAACTCCGCGACAGAAAGATGTACCATCTTTAAATTTACGAGTTACCGTCCACGGTCCTTGGGGTAGCTCTACAAAATATGGAGCTACACCCTATAAATAAACACTCCTGTAAGGCGCCAATCTGCCAGTACGTGTCCAGTACGTTTGAAATCGGTTCTAACGAATCAAGATCATGGTAACTTGAAGGTGAGAGCTTCAACTAAGAGGAAACTCCGCATCGCTTCCGCACAATAGCCACGTCCTCCGAACCACTGAGCTGGCAGATGCTGTAAAGTTGTTTTACATTCTCGCATGAAGGTCACGGAATCTCGAATCCCTCACGATGATTAAGACGGCCAGTACTGGTTCCAAGCTTCGACAATCTCGTTTATTAGATCTCATCCGCACTCTACAAGTTGTATGGTTACTTCTGGTGGTGTGGTTCGAGTATGGGAGCTTTCACTACAGTCTGTGGGACTGCCGCTGGCCGGATGCTTCCTTTACGCGGGTAAGGACCTGTTCCTATCCCATCATGCCTCCAAGACCTTCTGGACTCCATAACTCAATGACCCAAACTGTCAAATTCATAGGGAAGCCATGCATCTCATGTAATAGTGATTGATGATGCTCGAGTACGTTTTCGTCCGAGAAGCTTTCGAAGGGCTCTGGATGCCATTCGATACCACCTCTACCATCTCACTCTTCGAAAGAACTGGAGCTTCGCCAGTAATTTGCGACCCGATGTCATTGTGTTCTTGGGTGATATGTTGTCTTCCGGGTACCGGATCGACGATGAGCAAGAGTATGTGCCGAGCTCCTCCATTACAAATAGAACAAGTCTGACCGTTCATTTCCAGATATGCGAGCTACGTTCAGGAGTTCAAGAGTATCTTTCAAATGGATAAATCCACGGAAGTATACTTTGCCCCCGGGAATGAAGACGTTGGGTGATTCTGCATGTTTTACTACCATTCACCTTGAACTGAGTGTTTTCTTTATCCAGCTTACGAGTCGACTGGCAGACGGCCAGTATTGCCCGCTCCCATTACACTCGGCACTTTGGCCCACTCAACGGATGGGTCCCTGTTTCGAATCACACATTCGTAATTCTTGACGCTCCAGGGATGGCAGAGGAAGATTACCAAAGAGCAGAAAAGTCACTTGAGTATGATGAATGGCAGCCGAAGCCTGATGGTGCTATTGAATTCATCAAAAGTATATCGGCATCACAAGGTAAGCTGTCAATCTCTTGTTATGAACTTTTGTTGAGAAACAGCTACAACAGTTCCAAATGATGCAACACATCCTGTTGTATTGTTTAGCCATATCCCGCTGGCTCGTCCGGAGCTGGCAAATTGTGGACCTTTGCGAGAGAAAGGGACAATTCATCGAGGTATCGGATTGAACTACCAAAATACGTTTGGGAAAAAGACGACCGAATTTCTTATTGAAGAACTCCGGCCGTATCTCATATTCAGGCAAGTGATCTATGTTCGTGTGTTCTGACGAACCTGACCTCTACATTATATTTTAGTGGTGACGACCGTGATTATTGTGAATATACTCATCGTGACGGCAATAGCCCTGGAGGAGTGCGGGAAGTCACAGTGAAATCCTTCTCTCCAGTGCAATATATCAAGTACCCTGGTTTCCACCTACTTTCCGTCGTCGACTCTTCTTCGCTGCCACCACACATACCGTATTACGCCGATAAACCCTGTTTACTCCCGGATTATATTAACATATACTGGACCCGGTACCTTCCTCTAGCCCTGCTCACTCTCGTTGTTATTTTGTTGTACAGAAATCGGCGCAGACGGATCACACGACATCGCCCTTCTCTTCCGTCCCACAGTGGTGATAGCCTCCTGTATGGGTCTTCGAGCTGGCCACCTTTAGATGCCGACATCGTCGATGGCTTACCACCTACCTCGCCCAATTTTGGAGCTTTGAATGCCCTATCTAGTAGCAGTCCCCGAGACACGCATCCTCCGCCATTACGAACACCAACTTTCAGCATGAGTTCGTCCACCGGTGATCTCAGGTCTGGTTCTACAACTCCTTCTTTGAGGGCATCACTGTATGCTTCCTCCCCTATTGACTCATCATTCATGTCAACTACGACATCTCCACAACTAGGTCGCGATCTAGGTGACAAGCAATACGAAACTTTCGATGCAGCGTCCAGTACGCGCCGTTCAAAGGCGCCACTGAGGATCGGACTCCCTCCCACAGCCAAAAACAAAAGAAGTTTCTGGCGCAAGTTGACTTGGTCATGGTCCTGGACGTTCCACGTTATGGGACGACCGAGACGTCTGACGATGGTATTACCACCCGTCTGGCGTATCTTCAATGTATTCTCACCTCAAAGTATGGATCATAATTCTCCTCGGAAGAGTGGATGGATTCGGACCCTTTCTAAAGATGTATTTGTTGTATTCACGCCAGCATTCTTGCTATGGACTCTCATTACTTGGCGGACTCTTATGTAACATTTCGTGTTAAGGACAATATTTGTCACTTTGCTATACTTCGCTTGTTGTATATTTTGTATTTATAAGGATTCTGGATGTAATCCGTAACACTGTAACAAATGCATACTTTGTTGTCATTCACTAATGTGCGATATGTACAGTACGATACACCATTGTTGGTAAGGTATATACAGTTAGAGGTACGATAATATACGAAACACAGCAGGTTGGTTAGTATTATAAGGTAAGTAAATATTCTGATTGAGACAGCACTGTGACAACAAAATTCAAGAAAGATCAAGAGCGAAATAGTCGGAATTAGGGTCAGTGAAATATAAAACTGAAGTGATTCTTAGGCAGAGTTTCCGCCGTTCTGAGTGGCGGCTTGTCGGGCACCGAATAATTCAATCAGCTCTGTTCGAGTTGTTAGTCGACTCGCGGGTGAAAAAAGGGTGAAGAACAAACCTTGCAGCCGAGCTTCCTTTTTCTGGCGTTGGGTCTCCTTGTTTTTAATTCCAGAAAAGGCCTGAAACCGACGGTTAATTCGCATGATCCTTTTCGTTGGAAAAATATAACATACTTGTTTGATCAAGGTTTTCTTCTTCTCTTGAATATCGATAACCTGAAGGAAGCAGGTAAGACTCGGAGTATCTTCATGAGTAACGCACGACATACCTTTGCCTCTACGGTGCTCTCAGCTATCATTTGATAGACACGCACCGGCTTCGTTTGACCGATACTAAGGGTGATGTTAGTCATTGGTCGTGAAAATGTATGCAGGAATGGACAACGACATACCGATTGCATCGATCAATAGCTTGGGATTCTATACCTTCTTGCCACCATCTGTCAAAAGGAGTGTCAGACCAAATATATTATGTCGACATTGAGAGAAATACATACGGGTCCATCCTGCACAACAGAGGCTCAGCGAACGGTAAATTTTGTAATAGAAAAACACTTACAAAAACACATTGTTTGCAACAGTCAGATTGAGACCAAGGGCACCAGCCTTCAAGGAGATCAACATGACACGAGGATTCTGCTTTCCAAATGTCGTTCCGTTCAAGGGGGAGGGGAAATCGTCCTCAAACGTCGCCTTGGGCACAGCCTTTCTCTTGCCGCGTTGCTTTTTCGTAGGACGTTCGTCTTCATCGTCGTCAAGGAAATCACTGTCATCGCCGTCGGGGCCAGCAACAAAGTCATCATCGCCAGCATCATCTGCATCGACATCAATGACGATTCGAGACGAGCGTGACTTGCGACGTGAAGGGCGGCCAGATGATGTAGTGGGCTGAGAGGCCTTGGAGGCTTGAGAGGCTGGCATAGCTGCGACATCCTCCTCCGTAATTGGGACGGAGAACCTCGCAATTGTTTCTTGGCGTGACCTCGCGGACATCTTGCCATCGAAACGAACATACGGAATGCTACATCTATGTTCAGGACTAGACGTCAATATCAAATATCATATAGCTCACCCTTCTTTCTCGAACACTGCAGCAATCTAATAAAATTGTAAGCACGTAATCTATAATTGAGCAAAAAGGGTGGGCTACTTTGTCGAGGAAACCCGTGAACTGAGAGAAAACAAGAGCTTTCTCAGTGTATGGAGTGAGTTTCAGCAAATGAACAAGTTGATCGATTTTCGCAGACGAGCCCGAACGCAAATCATCGAGATCCTCTTCCTCTTCATCGAGTGGACGAATAGGTGCTTGGGTGAGATCCGTCGGAGGGGGTGGTTCGAGAAGATCGCCCATCGTGATCTGTCGTCGATCCTGATACAAATGGATGAGAAGAGTTGATATGTATGATGAAATAAGGACATACCATAGGACATTTAGGATCACGAGCGATGACTTCAGTGATACTGTGGTAGATCTAAGTTTCGACTTATTATATGCATGAAGTATGAGACACAAACCAGGGCAGGCAGAACGTGTGTGAACATGTTGTGATCCTGGGTTCTTCCAAAATCCCGAAGCAAATAGGACACTCCTCGTTGTCTTCGATGGCCTGAGCAAGGAGTCCTTGAAGTCGGATCTTGTCCTCGGGTTTCAGCTTTGTGACAGGTACTGGATGTTGTTCATCGTATTCATTAGCAGACCGGAGTTGCTCTAAATAGTTCGCGGGAACTAATCCTGGATGAAGGGTCAATTGTCTCATTCGAGTCAACATGCTCAGAACATTGGATTGCACCTAAAGGCGATGATCAGTCTTGAGCTCGTGGGGCAACAATGGTATCTGGAACTTACTGCAGCAGCACCAAGACCACCGTGTTTTGCGACAAGGGTATTGAAACGTTCCGTTGAAAGTTCCTCTACAGCATCGTAGAGCTCCTACAAGAGTTGTTAGTGTAATAATAGGTGATAGCCGAGAAGTGAATTCACCCTCGCTCTACCTTCCAAGGTTACGGGAATGACCGTCATCTCCACCTGGACAGAATAAATGAGATTATGTTAATTTTACCAAGGACAGCTGAACGTACGGGAGGCAAAGGAACA